TCTCAATGGTCCCGCCGCGCCCGGCGTAGCCACATTGAGCCTCCCGGGCCCCGGGGCACAAGGAATCCGATCGGGAGAATCTCTCCGGTTCTCGTGGTGGGCTCCAGCCGTCCCCAAAGCGTCCTGGCCGTGAGGAACGTGGGCAGGCGTTGGTGGGAGTGCAGAAGAGGAAACTGAGGCTGGGAGGGCGGACCGGCCTAGAACTGCAGGAACTCGCTGCACCTTCCCTGGGGCTGAGTGCAAGCAAACCCGAGGCCACCAAGGCGTCTGGGGTCTTCAGGAGAAAGAAAGGGGAGTCCAAATGCTGTCGACTCCGTCACCCCGCATAGATCCTGGAGTCCTGTTAGGATTTTCCCCCTTTCAAGGATAATCCCTGTGCTGCCTGACCTCCCCGTCCCCACTGAGACAGAGGAGAGGACGGGTTCAGACCAAGGCCCAGGAGGTGGCTGAGAGTGTCGGCGGGACCCTCCAGCCCCCTACCTGTGCATCCGAGGGCTGACCTTCACGTGAGGTCTCTCTTAAGAGCACTGGGAAGGAAGAGGAACGTATTCTTCGCCCCACTCCCAATGCTTTACTCAGTTTCTGACGGCAGGACTTGTACCTCCCTCCCCCCCATGCTTCGCCCTGTGCCCCACCCCCCACTCAACTCCGTGGCCCCCCACAGTGCCGGTGGGTGCAGCTGTCCAGGATAGGGGAGGACTCCCTCCAGAGACCTCCGCCTAATTACTGGAGATCATAAGAACTCACTTCCTAGGAGAGAGATTCTGCCCCAGCCATCTGCCCACCTGCCTTCAACACCCTTAGGCCTGACTGTCAGATACTTCACACTACCCACTCACATTGTCTCCCTATCCCATCAATGCTCTGTGGAGCCTTTGGCAGGCTACAAGGGGGTAGCCAGGGGCTGCCCCTCCCTGAGCTAGTAGCCCGGGCTCCATGGGGACCAGCCACCCCAGACGCATGAGTATTGGACCACAACCAGCCATGCAGAGCTGGGAGTGGCAAGGGCTGGTTCCTTTTTCTCCCTCCAGCTCATCAGGGCAGAGGAAGGACGGGCCACCAGTCTGAGACCCCTAGGGAGCAGGAGGGAAGCTAGGTCATGCCCCAAGTGTCTCAGGTGCTTCCTCTTGGACAAAATCCCTACCCACCCCCCCACCCCACACTCCCAGATGCACCCACAGTCACTTTTCAGCCAGGATCTCATGACCCTCACAATAGCTATTGTTAACATGTTGAATATTATTAACCCATTTTACAGAGGAGGGGCCCAAGGCCAGAGGCAGAAGTGGGAGGCAGACAGGAGGCACTCATCTCACACCCATCCCTAGGAACGAGAGCCATAGCCAACACAGCAGTAGTAATCCGCATCATCCTCGGGCTGCACTGGGCTGATGGTCAGGATGCAGGCATTGTGAATTGCATCCTTGGCTGCCGAGAACCGGTCAGGGATGTCAGCAGGCCGGTGGTGGTCCTCCTCCGAACGGTAGTAGAGGAGATAGCGGGGGGCACTGCCTGCCCGCTGCTGGTACCAGGACACACCATAGTCCCCGATGTTGGCCTGCTGAGGGATGAGCATGCAGGACAGTTGGGCCACTTGGCCTGGGAAGACCAGCAGTGCATCCGGCTGGGCCAGGGCTGGCTGGAAGACTGAGAGACACAGATCCATTCAGACCTAGCCTGGGCCCCTTCCCTCCTACCCCCGCTCTATGAAGGCTTGGTCAGACTCCAAGAGCACTTCTACCCCCAAAGGGTCCTTAGTCCAGTACCACGGGATTGACACAGAATGGAGTGCAGGAGGCCTGGTTTGGTGTGACTTAAGGTGCCCTCTCTGGGCCTCCATTTCCTCTGTGAGTGAGGAGTTTGGAGGCGGCAACCCACAGGTGCCACATCCCCAAGGATCTGTGCTCAGTTGAGCTCAGAGGATGGAACCAGCAACCTCTGGGTCCTCCTGCTGCCCATCCCCCTTTTTCCTGCAGACCACTCCCCTTTCCCTTGTCACAAACCCTGGCTACAGACTACAGATGTAAAGAGGAACTATCCCAGGAACCTCCTAGGCTATACCCATCAGCTCAGACTCAGAAATCTGCCTTCCCAGGAGTTTCTTGGGGTTAAGGTTGCCTCTGAGGCCCTGTAGGGTAGGCACCAGTCCACAACTTCCCTGTAAAACACTAAGGAGATCCCAAAATCAGAGTCCAAAGGGGTCCTAGTGATCTGGTTATTCACACTTGGGAAAACCAAGGCCCATACAAGGCAGTTACTTGCCCCAGGTCAGGGGCAGAACTGCCTGGAGCCAGATCTCCCTTCCACTTCAGTGTCCCTCCCAGGACCCTCCCTACTGTCCCCATCAATTTGCTTCCCTTCAGAGGCCGTCTGGGGCCAGTACTTTCCCCCACTCCAAACCCAAGTAAACTCGGTCTAGGGAGGATTCACCTGCCATGAAGTTCCCCATCATAAGGAAGGTCAGGCACCGGCAGGTCATAGCCAGAGGCGGGGAGGCAGGTGGGAGTCCTTCTGCTGGGCTGTGCTCCAAGTTCTTCAGGGCACAGGGCTGGGAAGGCTGCTAGACCACAATAGGCCATGCAAATCAGCCTGTTGAGTGAGGAGGGAGGTGGTGGCTGGGGCCCAATGGCCAGGCCCTATCTCCTCAAGTGTTGGGGACCTGGTGCCACAAGGCCTTCCAAGGACAGGAGCCAGGAAGTTCTCATGTTCAAGAGGTTGGAATCTACTTTTTTTTATTGAGATACAACTGGCATAAAGTGCATAAATCTTAAGTATATAGCTGTATAATTTTATATTTATATATATGCACGCACACACACCTGCTGCCTCCACAGGGTCAAGATTTGGAACATTTCCATCTCCCCCGAGGCCCCCTCAGTTAGTAATGACCTCCACCCTCAAGGGAACCATCATTCTGACATTCTGACTCCATAGATTAGTTTTGCCTGCTCTAGAAGTTCAATCAAAAGTGGAAGGATAGTGTCCTCTTTTGTGCCTGCTTCTTTTGTTCAACATGATGAGAGCCATTCAAGTGTGTGTGACAAGATGTAATCCATTCCCATAGCTGTGTGTAATCCGTTGTGTGAATACACCACAGTTTATCCGTTCTCCTGTATTAGATACCTGGGCTCTTTCCAGTCATTGGCCATTACAAATAAAACTGCGGTGAACATCCCTGCCAATGTCTTTTGGTGAACTTGTGCTCCCATTTCTGCTGGATAGACACCCAGGTGGCAGGAAACGTGTATGTTTAGCTTTAGTAGATACTCCCAAGATGTTTGTACCAACCTGCACTCCCCCCTGCAGGGTAAGAGAGTTCCAGTGACTTCACATCCTCGCTGACACATGACACTGTCAGTCCCTTCAACTTACCAGAGCAAAGGGAGAGGAGGCGAGGCGGCAGGAGGATGTGGAGGGGAGCTCAAGTGGTTTTCAATTTGGCCTTGAATCCCAGCTCCTACTTTTCCTAACTGCATGACTTCAGTCAAGTTACTTCCCCTCCCCGTGTCTCAGTTTTCTCATCTGGAGAATGAAGGCGAGCATAGTGCCAGTCCCAGGGTTGGGAAGATGTAAAGAGGAACTATTTGCTCAGTGCTGGGCATGGGGTGTGGACTAACCATGTCTGTTCCACATTCTAATGCTTTGTAATCTGGGCCTTACTGGTTATGGAGGGAGTGACCATCCCAGGGCTATAATCCCTAGAGATAGTAAACAATTCTTCTGAAAGCACACTTTTCAAACACAAGTCAGCTAATCCTAAACCCACACCTCCAACCCCCTCCTTTAACTGGCTCTCCCACTCCGCCTGCCCTATTCTCCCCAGGGCCAAGCACTGGACAACTGCAGACAGCTGGAGCCCACTGAGATTATTCAAGCCCAAACCTGCCGGCCCAGCCTTGCCTGTTCCTTTGGAAACCATGATAAAGGCTCTTGCCCACAGCACCTCCCTCTCCTTCTACCTCCTGACCAACCCCTCTCCTGCCCAGTGTGGTGACATGGTGTGCCTCCTCTTCTTGAGAACTGTAACAAGCAATTTTTAAATAACATTTACATTGTATTAAGTATTATAAATAATTGAGAAATGAGTTAAGGTATACAGGAGAATATGTATAGGTTACAGGCCAATAGTACGCAATTTTTTTTTAAAGTTTTTAAATATATGGGGTTCAATTCAGGGTTAGGTATACAAATGTTGATTATGAAGGTACCCTTGTTAATGAGGAGTGGCCCCCTCCCCCTGAAGATTCCCATTAACTGCCAATCCACCCCCCACCCCCCACCCCCCACCCCCAGCAGTTTCCCACTACTGCCAATCTTTTTCTTATAGCATTATGATAATTGCTCAAGGTCTGCTTATGAGTGAGAACATGTGATATTCAGTTCTTTGTTTCTGAGATAGATCACTCAGTATTATAGACTCTAAGTCCATCCAAGTTGCTGTGAAATTCATAATTTTGTCCTTCTTTATGGCTGCATAATATTCCATTGTAAGGCTGGGTGCAGTGGATCACACCTATAATCCCAGCACTTTGGGAGACTGAGGTGAGAGTATTGCCTGAACCCATGGGTTCGGGACCAGCCTGGGCAACTTGGCGAGCCCTCATCTCTACAATAAAAAAAATTAGTCGGGCATGATGGTACATTCCTGTAGTTCCAGCTACTTGGAAGGCTGAGGTAGAAGGATCACCTGAACCCAGCAGGTCAAGGTTGTGGTGGCCGTGAGCATGCCACTGCCCTCCAGTCTGGATGACAGAATGAGACTCTGACTCAAAAAAAAAAAATTCCATTGTGTATATATACCACTTTTTTTTTTTTATCCAGACCTCTTTTGATGGGCAGCAAGGTACAATGTTTTCAATAGCAATTGCTTTCTGATCTGTTGGTCTTACCATATCTGAATAATAACAAAACCTATTAGGACAGTGCACTCTTGTTAACTCAGCCTCCAGAGCTCTCTTGGGGGAGGTTATGATGCCTCTCCATGGGTCCCACTCCATTCCTGCCATCTCTTTAGGGCATCTCCTTGAAACTCAAGATAAAAGACTCCCTCCTCAGTGGCACTGAAGATGAGCCTCTTGGACAGCAGAGTGGTGACTATCAGAGCTGAGACTCCAGGCTTGGAGTGACCTTTCCTTCCAGAGTCTGACTCCAGCTGCTGGAGTCTCCACACTTGAGTGGTGTTCTGTGAGACTTGGGTCCCCAGATACAGTGCTGTCTCGGGAAGAAAGTGCCCGGTGTTTAAACAAGTCTGGGAAAAGCTGCTTGTTTTCACACTACTGATCGGAGCATGTGCTGCATTATTGTGCTGAACACAGAGACAGCTCTTCAAGGCATTGCCATATGTGGCCTGTTGCAGTGGCTCACACTTACAATCCTAGTACTTTGGGAGGCCAGGAGTTTTAAGACTAGCCTGGGCAACATAGTGAGATTCCATCGCTACAAAAAACTTTAAATAAAAAACCTGGAATGTTGGTGTGTGCCTGCAGTCCTAGGGAGACTGAGGAGGGAGACTGAGAATCACTTGAGCCCAGGAGTTCAAGACTGCAGTGAGCTATGAGTACATTACTGCACTCCAACCTGGGCGACCGAGCAAGACCTAGTCTCAAAAAAAAAAAATCTAGAAAAAAAATTAAGAGTGATCATATTTAATCTTCACAATAACCCTGCTGAGTCATGGCAGTCCACAAGAAGCTGTGTATCCATGGGCACAGTGTGACCTTGTGAGCTGCAGAGGACCCAGCCTTCCTCCCGCCTCACCATCCAGAGCTTGGGCTGCAGACGGCAAGTTAGATAGCTGAATCATGGGGGCAAAGCATTTCTAAAATATCGGGAGAAATGGAGCTGGCAAAAAGAGGGTGGGGACAGTGCTCCAGGCATCCACCTGGCACCCTGGCCGGAGGGGTCTGGTGGGGACTCACAGGGTGCAGGCAGTAGACAGAACTGGGGAGACAGAGGTGAGGCAACAGGCAAGAATGAAAGAGAAAGGATGATGAAGAGAGAGATGGAAGGAAAAAAGTCAAAAAAAGGATGAACATGGAGAAGTAAAGAAAGAGTGTGGAACAGAGACACTTAGAGGAAGGGAGGAAGGGAGAGAGTGTGAGAAGCAGACAAGAGACAGGGAATCATGGGTTGGCAAGAGTCAGTGAGAGGGACCAGCTGGTGCTGAGAGCTAATAAGGCAGTACTTGTGACCTGCTCCGGATCCCGGAGACCCAGGGACAACAAGACAGAAAGAGGGACAATGAAGTGAGAACATGCTGAAATATACATTTGGCAGTTTCCTGTAAAGTGAAACAGACACTCACCACAGGGCCCAGCAATCCCTCTTGTGGTATTTACTAGCCTAGCTAAGTGAAATCTGCTCACATAAACACCTGCTAGGCAAATGTCTATATTGGCTATATCCATCATCTCCAAAAACTGGAACAGCCCAAAACAACAGTAGGTGAATGGATCAACAAGCCATGGTATGTCCAGACAGTGGGACGTTCTTCAGCACCAGAAGAAACAAACCATTGATACACCTGGCATTCTAAATGAATTTCAAATGCATCATGCTGAGTGAAAGAAGTCGATTGCAAAAGGCTCCACACTGTAAGATTCTATTTGTATAACATCCTGGAAAAGGCAAGGACAGAAAACAGAGTAATGGATGCCAGGGACAAGAGTTGACTATAAAGGGATACAAAATGAATTTGGGGGGTGATAGAAGTGTTTTTCCTTTTTTTTTTACTATTTTATTCTTTTTTTTTTTTTGAGTCAAAGTCTCACTCTTGTTGCCCAGGCTGCAGTGCAGTGACACGATCATGATCACCACAGCTTTGACTTGCTGGGCTGATGGTCCTTCCACCTCAGTCTTCCAAGTAGCTGGAACTACAGGTGTGTACCACCATGCTTGGCTAATTTTTTTATTTATTGTAGAGACAAGGTCTCACCAAGTTGCCCAGGCTGGTCTCGAACCCCTTGGGCTCAGGCAATCCTCTCACCTTGGCCTCCCAAAGTGCTGGGATTACAAGGCGTGAGCCACCACACCTGGCCTTTTACTACTTTTAAACTATAGAGACAGGGTCTTGCTATGTTGCCTAGGCTGGTCTCAAACTTCTCACCTCAAGTTATCCTACTGCCTCAGTCTTCTGAGTAACTAGGACCACAGGTGCATGCCACCGTGCCCAGATAATTGTTTAAATTTTTAAAAATAAAGACAGGGGGTTTACTATGTGCTGCCAGGCTGCTCTCAAACTCCTGGTCTCAAGTGATCCTCCCACCTCGGTTTCCCAAAGTGCTGGAATTACAGGCATGAGCCAACACAGCCAGTTGATGCTCTATATCTTGACTGTGATGGTAGTTATATGAGATTTGTCAAAACTCGAAAACACTGCAAAGGGTGAATTTTGCTGTATGTAAATTATACCTCAGTGAACTAGACTAACAAGAACAGGGAAAAAAACAAGGACAGAGAAAAAGAGGGGGGAAACTGGGAGTGAGGAGAAAGGAGGGAAGAAAAGCACAGGAATAAGAACCTGAGTCCTAGAGAGCCTCCAGAGGTTGGCGAGGACCGCCACCCCTTCAGCTGGGAGCTCTCTCTGCCACTAGTAAGGGGATATGATCTCTGGAGGCAGTCATGGGGCATCCCTGGACCCCTGGATGAAGCTCTCACTATGGGCCTGACCGGAGCCCTCCCTCGGGAAATGCCTGCCCCCTCCTCCAGGTTCTGTTACCAGGATACTGGGAAGAAGGCATTTCCTGCCCCACGTCTCTGTGGCTCCCACTGCCATAGAGACCAGCTTGGGAGCTAGGGTGAGCTGCTCTAGTCCAGCTAGGGTGAGCTGCTCAGTGGGAGGAAGAGGAGGCCGACCGGAGGGGAGTCTTGGACTAGCTGCTGGGATTGTTCTAGGCTGGTGGAGCCGAGCCAGAGGTGACTGAGCAGAGGCTTGGCCCTGGGACTACCCACCCATCCATACTCACAGGTACACGTCTCTTCCCAAGACCTCAGTCCGGAGCAGGTCTCAACTCCAGGCCCTTCCTTAGTTGGGGAATCGGGGCTGGAGGATCAAAGCCTCCACAGCTGTCTCCTCCCCTGCAGCCATGTTTATCAAGGTAATGTTTGGAGGTAAGTGGGGTCCCCTGGCCTGGCACGTGGGTGGGGGGACAAGCACACTCAGGCGCGCTTCCCTCCGCCTTAGGGGAGGGTAGGAAGGCGATGGCAGGTAAAAGGGGTGCAGATGGGGGAGGAGGTTGGGGAAGAGGCTCTGTGAGGAGGCAAAGCGGCTGCCTGGAGCGAGTCCCGTAAGGGGACAAGCCAGTTGAGTCCTGCCTAGGTGATTCACGAGGGCTCCCCTCCGTGAGCGCCCGTCCCGCCACCGTGGAGCACAAGTTTAAACTGTACAGTCTCTTCGCCACTCCGTCAGTGGTTCTCACACTTCAGTGTGCGGCAGACACCTGAAGCTCCAGCCACAGTTGCAGGTTCCCAGCCCTTCAGGAGGGAGACTGGGCTGGCGCGGGGGAGGGACCGGTGTGGGAGGTGGGGCTGGGGCGGGAGTCACGCTTTGTGTGCCCCAGTCACCCTCATCTTCGGAGAAGGATAGCGGGTTTCCGAGGCAGTTAAAGCAACAGTTGCCTTGGAACCCAGGCCCTATCCGAGAAAAGAAAGGTATTCCACATGTTCACCTCTGTCCCTTCCCCACAGCCGGCTGCTGGGAGCTGGTGAACACTTGGTGCAGCCTGGTGACCCTCGCTGCCCACCTGAGGCAGAGAGGGAATGTCCCCCCAGACGGTGAGGAGACATGAGAGGTTGGGAGGATAGGCTGAGGGACCCCGGGCATGGGTGCCAGCCCTGCCCAGCCTCTCTCCATGCCATGCCCTTCCAGCAGCCCTTGCTCTCCTGGCAGAGGACGGGCGCCTGGTGAGCCTGGATGAGGACCCAGAGGAGGGGGCTTCCCGGAGCACATCCATGGGCAGTTCCCTGCTGGATGAGCGAGAGACTTATGTCCTTGTGCAGATCATCAGTGAGTGGGGCCCAGGACTCTCCCCTGTGGCTATGGTGAGATGTAAGAGGGAGGTGCAGCAGACCACAGACCACCCAAGGCCCTGCCCAGCCTCCCACCTTGACAGGGACCTAGCCCCAACCTGTCCCTACCCATTGCCCTGCCCTAGCCCCTAGCCTGGGCCAGCAAACAGATCCAGGTTGAGAAGTGAAGTGGGGACCAGGCCAGTCAGGATCCCTGGTCCTCTCCATTTTCCACAGGGGGAGAGGGCGGTGCCCCTACCCGCTATGAGTCCCTACTGGAGAACCTGGATGACGAGTGTCCAGAGCTGGCAGGTGAGTGTCAGGGCAGAGCCCTGGGGGGAAGGGCATGTCTTCTTCCCAGCCCTCACCAGCAGAGCTTCCTGGGTCTTCCAGAGGAGCTGCGCTGTCTGTCAGGCCTCCCGACAACAGGCCATGACCGGAGGAGGCGCATGGGCACTCGGCGTGGCCAGCGGGAACAAGGTCCCTCTTCAAAGCCCCGAAGGGTGGGCTCCCTGCTGCCGAGGACTCGCTAGCTGGGTCCAGGAGCCAGGTACAGAGGAGATATGGATACCCAGGGAGACACCCAGAGTGGGATGCCTCCGGGGGGACAAACGCTTGTGCTGAGAAGCAGACTCTCAATGTCAGTTCCACACACATATACCCACAAGCTGGAACATATTGTACCCAGGGACAGGTCCACATCACCCCACTGGAATGTAAGCGCCCTAAGGGCAGGAATGTCCTCAGTGCTTAGTAGATGTGGAATAGGGCCTCACACAGTAAGTGCTCAGTGCACTGCTGCTGGATGAACTCAGTGAAGGCAACAGCACAGTATGTAATGGTGCCACTTGCACGGGGCTTGAAGGGCCTGCTTCTCCCTTCTAGCAGGTCCCAGGACCTGGTACACCACAGCCAAGTGGCCATGACCTCTCCCTTTTGTGATCAGGTGCAAACAGACAGCAGCCCAGCAGGATTCCTCTTGCAGAACCTGGAATTTCTGAGAAGTTGCATCAGCAAGAGGGGAAAGGTCACAGATGGGACATAAGGCAGCTGGGGTACAGAAAAAGGGATCCAGTGGCAGAGACAAGAAGGGTAGACGGGGCAGTCATCCCTGAGAGCAGTAGAGCAGGTTCATTCTGGAATTCCAGTCCCCAGAGTCACATGCCCTTGCAGCCACCTGCCAATGCCTGGCCACTGCACTTGGACTGCTCAAGGTATCTGTCCTCAGCTATGTGCAGTGCAGATTACAACAGGGCTCCTCCTCCCACCTAGGACCCCCCCACACACACACTTAAGGTGATACATTTCATACTGACCTGAGACATCCATCCTTCTCCCCTGACCCCACCTCATTAGCCAGGGAGCTCCTGTCATACAGGCCAGTGATTAGGCAAACAGCAGGCTGTGGTCTAAAATAAACTTTTTAAATTGCACATTTGCGTCTCAGGTTATCTGTGGGGTGAGAAACCTCGTCCTTGCTCCCAATTACAGTTACAAGGGTACAATCTGGCATCATGATCCGGCTGTCAGTGAGGGGCTGGGATGCAGGGCTGGCCCCTGAGTCTGCATTGGCCTCTTCAGGGCAGGGAGCTCAGACCTGTGGAGGGAGATGGGCATAGAGTGGTTGTCAGCAGTCAGGTGCAATTAGAGGGTCTGCCCTTCCCCCTCCGCACAGGAGTCAGGGTCTGCTCACTCACCATGGTTGTACTTGCACTGCTTCAGGGCCTCACTGAAGCCTTCACACAGGGACAGGTCACTCTGAGTGGTAGAGCAGTCCAGGAACTGCTTGATTTCATAGGCGCAGGGCCCCATCTGCAGGGACTGGGGGGCAGCACGGACAGGAGCCTGGGTGTATTGTGAAGAGGCCCCAGGGTCAACTCAGGGTTGGGACCCAGAGTTCAAAGTTGGGGGCCACCTGCCCCTCCCCACACCCACCGCCTGCTATCACAAATGTCTCTGGTGGGCTGAGTGACGCGGGACCAGCCTGCCTCTATCTAGCTTCAGCCATTGTATAAATGAGACAGGACAAGCAGCAGCAGATGATGCAGGGAGCATTTTCCTGCTGCCTTCTATGGGCACCTTGGGCAAGTGCAAGGGAGAGAAGAGAAGTTCCTAGAAAAGCCCAATATTCCCCACCCCCACAAGTTCCAGCATCTTCCTGGCTCAGCCACACTGATCCTCATGACCTCTCACCTGGCCACCGAGCCGAATTTGGCTAGGGCCAATGGGGCCTGCAGTGGGGGAGAGGTCATTGGTTGGTTTTTTTTTGCCCTTGGGCTCAGTAGCCACAGTACTGGACCTGGGTGTGGGGAAAACAGAGACACAAGAAATTCAACATTCCACGCTTCTACTAGGGTTAGGTGACCTTGGGCGAGTTTCTGAGTTTCCCCATCTTTAAAGGGCTGGTGGTTGTCTGTCCCTGGGAGCCAAGGACCCTGGTCAAGGAAGGGGCCAGGAAGGCTGCCTTTAAGTGATAGTGAGCTCAACAGCAGAGTGAGGAATAGGGCCCTTCTTGGACAAAGTCCTGGGTAACTCTTCACAACCTCAGACACTCCTCACTGGACACTTGGGCAGCTCCCTATGTGGACTTGAGAGAATCCTGCCTCAGTTTCTCCTGGACTCACTGCTCACCTCCTGGGCAGCAGGATGGGCGGGCTCTGAGCTGCCGCCGCTGAAGGCTCCAGTCAGGGCGCTGCCCATGACGTGTCCCACAGCTGAGCCCACGGCGACCCCTGCTGCTGTGGACGCCATCTGAGCCATGAGGCCGGGCTGGCCCGATGGGGCGGGGACCGGGGCGGCTGCCGAAGGCGGT